TGAACTGCTGAAGACCCACTGCCTAGTTACTGAATAGCAAATACTAAACTAGGCTGACAAATGATCTGGCCTGGTATAAAGCAATTTTGTATGTTCATATGTGTTTAAAGGATCTGAAATTATCCCAAGATCTCCAGATATTGTTACCAATCTGTAATTGTAATGAGAGGTGAAAAGGATTAAATAAGGACAGGAGAATAATTAGATTAATTATAATTAATTTTAATTAAACTTAAATACAAATGGTGTCAAATTTGATTTTTGTTGTGGCTTCTCCCACCGCTTCTTGGAATGCAGCCTCTGCTTGAATACCGTATCACTCAAAGACCACATAGGGCCCTCAATCAAGAAAAAAGTTGCATGCCCCTCTTTTACACAAAGTGCCCAACTGAACAACCTGGACAACTCCACATTGTCAGCCTAGTGTAAACAAGACATTTCATAATTATTTGCACAGAAATTCACATTAAAAATGAAAACTGGAATGAGTCATTGTTCTCTAAATATCTTGCTGCCTTTATCAGAAATTTTCTATGCGCTCACATTCTCTATCATTTCTTCCACCCACTTGACATAACATGATCTTTTCTGAAGCTTTTCATTGCTATTTTTGAAGGTCTACAAAAAACCCTCAAGTCTGAACATTCGTTTTCATATGAAAAGACTTTAAAATGGTGCTTCTGATTTTTCAACCAATACACCAAACATTTTTAATTGATAGTTCCAAGAATAGACATAGCTAGTTATAATAGCCATTTCCCTATGAACTGCTACAGAAAAACAGTTTGTCTTCATAATAATTGTTTGCTTCAATTATTTCCATGGAAAAATATATATAGATTACATATAAGGTCAAGGTCAAGTTTAACTTTAAAATTATACATCTGAGGTCTGTTTTTAAGAAAGGAAACAATTCATTAATGGCTAATAATAACTCTAGAAAGAAATAGAGTTAAGGAAGTCATCACTTTTTCATCTGCAACCACTATACAATGTGGAGCTTTGTTTTTATATGGCAAAAATAAATGAATACATTTGTTTACAAGGATAATGTTGCATAATGGCATGAGAGAAAGAGAACTAAACAGACAGCAACTTATATAAAGCTCATTAAAAAACAATCTTATAAAAATACCACACAGAAGGGAAGAAAAGGGAGAGGGGGAAAACTACTCTATTATTCAGTATACAAACATAAAAGCTTCCATAAAATAAGAAATCCCCTCAAAGAGTATAAAACATCTCTCATGAATTTCCAGTGAAACTCCTTTTAGCAACAGATTTTTATATCAAATGTGACAGTTTGACAAATCTGTTTAAATAACTACAAATATATATATTTTAAAAAATATATCTTACCTACTTCAGCACCCTGCCCTCTTCATTTCCAAGTTTAAGCAAAAATATATATTTTAAAAGGAGGAACAAAATAATAAGCTTTTATCTAGAATGTTTTAATAAATCATTTGAGATACATTTTAAAGTACTGTTGCCTTCTGAAACCAATTCCTATACATGTTTCTTTAACCATGGATGTAAACTTTGTAGAAGAGTATATGGACACAGGTATGAAGAGGCCGATTGCCAGCTGAAGTGAAGGATTTTCAAGTGTAGGAGGATATAGAAATCTATATAAATTAAAAGGCACTGTTCAAAAACAACAGTATATTAAAAGAGCCAGTGGTGATTTAGTGTAAGCTGAAATGATCTAAAATGTAAACATTATGCATGATTAATTTTCCTTCCCTATTAAAAGTTTTCCTGACACACAGTTCTTAGATTCTTGATATTTGGCCATTCCAAAAGCAACAAAATGGGAAGAACTAGAGTGAAAAGACTAGAAGCAGCAGAGGAAACAGATTATGAGGTATTGTGAGAAATTTGGAACTTTTGCCTTGGCTCTTCTGATTTTGACATGTTAATTGGAGCAAAGATTCCCTCATTTCCAAGCTATTAAAAAACAAAAGCTGATTTTTCTCAATTAGCATATTTGCATTAGACATAAATCCAGATGTGTGAGCAACACAGCTATGATAGATCCTCCAAAAAAGCCAGAAGTGTTGTCTATCTAGAGAACTGCACCATTTGGCACACTTACCTTGGAGTGAGACACACTGCAGTGGGACTTATTTTCAAGTCAACATTGTCCTTTTAGGTCTACACAGCTGTTTAAAGTCTGAGGAGATATCATGTATTTCAGGAATGGATAATATATTAGAAAAATGCTTTCTGTACAAGAATATATATAGAAATTCAAATGTGAAATTTGCTTTTCTGCTCATGATGTCAATGTTTCTTTATCATCAAGGCTGCTTTGGATCAATGTGATCAATTAGTAGTGAATAGTAGTAAGCAAAGTAACAATTTGGTTAACTATTATAACCAATCTCTTTGATTTTTCTAAAAGGTAACAGAAGTACCCATTTATAGTAGAGCATACCATAAGCTGCCATTTAATGTTAAGAATCTTTCCATAGCTTAAAGAATAAGCTGTTCCAAACGTCTCTGCATATAAAAATTTATTGATCTACTGCTAAAAGTAGTACTTCTAAAGTATCTGTATAATGGAAAGGGGATGGCCAATTGACATGATACATTAGCCAAACAGATGAAAGCCCTGATTATTCCAGCCCTGTATAAAACATATCCCAATATAGTTGAAACATTAATAGTAAGGTTATTTTTCTTTATACCTTCCTATGTTTTAATTTCCAGAAACTCATGAATGCCCACAGTTCTAAATATAATTTTATCTGAAGTTATTCTTGAAGATGATTATAAATGCATTATCTCATCTTGTAACTATTTCCCTTGCATGCATTATTTACATGAAGAGGGTCCATAACTGAAAAGGCAACTGGACCATGTCATCTGAACAGTCTAGTCCTACCAACTAATGTCCACACAATGAATCTAGGAATACAAGCCAGGAAGCCTATGCATAAAGGAAGTTCCACATTGATAAGCTTTTCTAGCTCAGAAGTCAACTTATAGGGGTGAGAAGGGAGAGAATAATATGATCTTGAAGAGTAAGGCCCATGGTGTGCCCCCACTCCCATTCATTCCACCCTGGGGATTCTTGTCAGGTATTTAAGGTATTCAAGAACTGCATTCCTCTGGAAGACAAAACAATGTTCCTGGTTGCTGACAGCAATGGTAATTTACTAAGGAACTAGGTCATTTTTTAGACATGAAATAAATCTAGCTTGCTATAAGTTCACTTGAACCGGCAATTCTGAATTAACAAATCTACTTCTGACCATGACCTTTTCTGCCATAATACAACTTTTTAAAAGCATGATTTAAATTAAGAAATGCACTCTTTCTTCCAGCATAAGTAGTTGTTTTAGTTATGCAAAGGAATAACAACAGGGTGTTTTTAGAAAACACCCTGTACCTACAGCAGAACTGACACAAGCTTTAATACATGTACATTGCTCAAATGTAATAGACTAAGATGAATACTCCTGAGAAAAATCTTTACTCATTTTTTTCAGCTTTTCCTAAATGGGAACATAATTTCAGACGATATTTCAAGAGAGGCATAGCTGGTCATGCAACGTCACAATATGGTGTGACTTGAAAGGAAAGTAAAAATAAATCACTTTCATAATTCAAGTGAGATAACGTATCAATTTGTAGGTATAGGGAGAGAAAATATGGAAATTTTTCTTTATTTTCCTAGTTTAGTCAAATAACCTTTTCCAAAAAAAACTTCTCTGCCAAAGGAACTGTATACTGTGTATGGCTCCAATTTATAAATTAAAAATATATTTGAACATCATAGAACAAAATTTCAAGCCTCTCTTCTAATTAACTATTGATTCAAAACAGTTTATAACATGGATCTGGTATTCAAAGGGAAGAGTCCACATTTCCATGGTATGCTTACATATAAGTTATGACTATATGCTTAAAAAAAAAAAAGGCAGTATCAATTATTCTTTTGGGGAGCTAAATTCATGGAATAGAATATTTATAATCCAGCATATATACATCCCACTGAAATCATAAGACAAATCTCATGTGTTTAAATAACTGGAGTTCAGTTTAATTCTTTTTGGCTTTAGAAGGACTTAAAGCACTTTAATTCCTCTGGATTGTAATAAATGTTATTTATGTATCTTCACTTAAATAAATTTGCACTGGATACTTCTGACATTCAAGTAAACTAAAAAAGGACTATAAAATAGTTCTGAAAACAAATGTTACAGCATCATTCTGAAACACTGCAAAACTGGGGGAAGAATAAAAACCTTGCAGAAACAAAAATGCAAACGGTGACCAAACTTTTCCTCACCTTCACTCACTCCCTTTCACCCAGTTTTATTTAAAGTGCATGAATATATTCCCCCCCCCCTTAATGTTACTGCAACTCTTGCAAATAATCAATTAAATGCAAACTTTTTGGCTCATCTATGGTGGTATAAAGCAGCAACATTTTTTGAAAAAAAAAACCTGTTAAGTATTCACCTAAATGTACCATAAAATAGCAGCATTAACAAATCTACTATGAAATGAAATGGTTAGCAGTCTTTAGCATCAAACCTGACATACATCCAAAATGAGTTTTCCTTTCTACCACCGAACCTGGCAGGCAGTGGCAACAATCTACAAAGAGCTACATACATGTGAAGGGAAGAACTGAGCAACTGGTACGGGGTTTCTTTGAAGCTTACGCTGCTGCAGCTTTGTCTGCGGAAGAGAAAAATGGCATTTCAACTCATCTCTTCAGCAGCAAAAACTGTTGTAATAGGAAGCTCTGCCCTGTACACAAAATTCTGCCCCCACGTATACAGAGCTTCTTTAGTATGTAGTCAACAATATAGCATAGATATATTCTGGTAGCAAAGCTCAACAGATATCTCCTTCTTGAAATTGAATATGACACTGAAACATGTTCTAAAAAATATAAATCTGACAGCTAAAGAAGCCATTAAAAAAAACCCACTAAAACAGGCATACATCAGAAAAGAGCAAATGTCCATTTGCTGCGAGGCTTACACTACTGACCGGTGCTCCCCGCACACATAAACAGCACTAGGCCGGATACGTCTTCTAGCGTGACCAGGTAACTGTGGCAAAAACTTGAAGTACTTGGGCACTAAGTCTAAGCACGCATCATGAAACTTCTTGATTCTCCAGTAGTAGATGAGCGGGTTCAGAGCAGACTTGAGGTAGCAGAGCCAAAGGAGCCAGGTGCTTATCTCAAAAAAGTTGTGCTTGTGATAAAAGTGGCTGTTAAATGTGGCAATAAGGCTGTAGGTGGTGAAGGGGGCCCAGCAAATTATGAAGACAATAAACAAAATCAGTATGGTGGTGAAGGCACGAGTTTTAAAGCTCATATCAATATTCATTTGAAAGGGTCTCTGGAGGCTCAAGAGACCAAGTTTGCTGGCTTGACTGAGGCATATGCTATCTGGGTGACTATGGATACGAACTGCATTGTGCCGTACAGTATTGAGGATGCCCATAAAAGAATATAACATTACGAGGAATGGAATGAAAAAGGAGACCAAAACCACCACTACTACATAGGCGCGGTAACCAGAGTTTGTAGTGTAGCCAAATACACACTGAGGTGCTTTTGAAGGTATCTGTAGGCTGGGGTTCCCCACAGAGAGTGGAAAAGCCACAACAAAGGCTGTGACCCATGAAGCAGCGATGAGGACTTTTGCTCGGTAAGGGTTCAGCTTGTCCTGCCTTTGAACTATTATAAGGAACCTGTCAATGCTGATGATGAGTAGTATGGCAACTCCTTCGATGACAAACAGCCAGAAGAACATGGCAGAGACTCTGCAGAAGACATCCCCAAAAACCCACTGAGTGGTGATGATGGTTATCAGAGCAAAAGGCATGTTCAGCACAGCTAGCAGCATGTCTGCAAAAGCCAAGCTAGCTAGAAGAATGTTAATTGCAGATCGCATTGCAGTCTTCTGATAGACCATAAGGCAGACAACAAGGTTACCAACGAAAGAAACTAGGAGAATAAATATCATGGCAGCAGAAAGAATGATCTGGAGCGGCAGACTCAAGCTTGTGAAGCCTTGTAACAGGAGGGCAGGTGTACTATTGACTGTCAAAGGAGTCGCCTCAGTAGTAACCATGGCACCCAAATGGTATTTCAGTAGCTGTGCTGTGCCCTTATGGACCAAGATCAATGGAGTGGAAATATTGGCATGGGCATTTTCATAGACAATAAAAGTTGAATTTAATGACACGGAATGAGCTGGTGTCAGCGTTGCAGAAAAAGCCATCACTTCAGCAGAGAGAGAAAGAGACTTCAAGGCATTTTAGTAAATAAGATGGTGTCATGATTCATGGCCCTTGGCTAAATTATAGTGACATATCCAGAAGAGGGAAGGTAGACTTTCACCCTTCATGGCAGTGCTTTGGTCTGAAAAATCAAATAGAAATTAAAATGTTAAAACAAATCATCATATCACTGAATGTATTGATATTGCTATGGACATTTCCTCAACGTTTCCCATGTTATCCAGCATTATCAAATGTTTAACTGGATATATGTAATTTTAAAGCAAAACTGGATTGCGGCAGCTTGCCACCTTACTTTTCCCAAAATATCTCTAAGCGTGCCTATAGGGACAGGAAACTGATGACCACTAATCATGGTCTTCTAACTAAACTTTTAATGAAAAGAAAACCCTTTTTGTATCATCCTTGGTCAGCTTGTGGGAAGCAACTATGGAACTAGTTGGCAGAACCTGGTCAGTGAGCCTAGAGGGCTGAGGAAGAAGGTGGGGAAGAGAAGGGCATTTATGTGAAAGATAGCCACATCTGCATTTCTGTCAATGGATAGGCATGTAAATATGTGCCGCTGTTGTTTTTTTTAAAACAGATGAATTTAGGGGTGTGATCCAGAGAGAGAAAGAGACGCACATGTGGTGAGGATGATCTAAACAGCCAGGAAGCATGCATATTGTGAATTGAAAGTGATCAACTTTTTAGTCTGGGAAAATAAATCTAGTGAAATAAGTTGACTTAGGAGTGAATTGGGGAAACTACCCAGTTATTTTTCTGTGAAATGGCAAATCAGAAAATTGAGTCAAATGAGTTCAAATGGGACTTTGACGTCATCTGTACTTGTATTCAGATTCCTGGGGAAATTGGCAGTGAGGCTTCACAATTTGCCCTTCCATGAAAGGTAGTTTATAAACTACAGAACCCATCAAAGAAGCCAATTTATTAGCGCTCCATTGTAGACACTGTGAAGTTACCCATAAGACTTCTTCAAAATTTGACCTGCTGGACTAAGACATATTAAAGCCCATTAAACAGACAGGAGGAGGACAACTCCTTCTGTGTAAGGCAAGAAAACAAAGCTAGGCAAATAGGCCAGCTGCCCACTCAAACTGATCTTGTGAATGTTGTACCTGACTAGGTTAAGGCAGGTTAAGTTATAAAAAAAGCATCTGTTACACCAACTAGATGAGTACTGTGGGCTAGGAATGGTCAGAAATAAAGAAAATAAATTCATAGGAATAAGTTAAATATTGCTACAGTCAAACATCTCTTTCATGCATATTTCTAAGAGGACAATTGCCTATCTACCTACCTACCTACCTACCTACCTACCTACCTACCTCAGGGCAACAGAGCTTAAGTTAGGGACATTACCTGTGTAACTTATAGATATCTCTGAATATGGACACATTTCAGAAAAAAAGCATCAGACTGGTTACACAAAAAATGGTCAGATCTAAGCTTCTAGATAGCACTAACATTATTTCACTGGTTTATTTGTAGAAATGGATGTAATGAGAGAAAGTACTTCTGCTTTCATGAGAACAAGCATAAGGTCATACACATAAGCACTGAGAGAATAAGGAATTATATGATAAAGTACCCATAATTCTTAGAGCATTATTTGGTGAAACCACATGATACAGCTGAATTTCCAGATGCATACAAACAAATCAATAGGGCAGGTTACAGATGGTGCTGGGTGGGTAGTGGATTGAGGTTCCCTTGGATGAGAGAGGAAGAATCTCCTGGACCACTGGTATTAAAATGTTGGAGAAACATAGCAGTGGTTGAGGATGAAGATTCTGAGAGAACTTTTAGACTCTCTTATATTAAATAAGATTATTTCAGATAATCAAGTTGAGAGGTAATCATCAACACTGTTTCCCTTTTTAGCTTCATTTGTTTGCTGCTGCTGGTTCTGGTAGTATTCTTAAGGCTGTCTATTGGGATTTTCATTATAAAGGCTATTGCTTTTCTACAGGTTCTTATGTGCATGCATATTTTTTTGCTGATATACATATGTATCCTATACCACAGTGAAGCCACAGAGTAAGTACATAGGATTGCCAAATAAAAACTAGGTAAATTCATATGCATATTTTTGGGGGAAAGATACTCATTCCATATGGTTTTTAAAGAATAATAATAATGCTTGTGCTTTCCTACAATCAAGTATATTTGCATTTACATGAAATATAAATGGCAGTAGAAGAGCAGTAAGTATATACAAATAATTAAATACTAAGTAATTATCTTGATAGTCAATATTATTTTATTCACAATCCGAATACATTTTTCAGCTTTCATTTTCATATGGAATCAACTATTACATTCAAGAACAGTGATAAGATGTTAGAAATATGAAGTACAGAAAGCTATTATTGATCACTCTGATGAAATATCAGATTTGATTATGTAATAATATTTTCTCATGACATTCTTTTACAGTTAAAAAATTAGTTTTAGTAAAATCCATTTCCACTTGCAGTTAAAATCACTCTGCTGTGAGAATTCTGTTTCTTCTCACATATACAACACATCTTTCTTCCTCAGTTCACTTTTATTTGAATATTAATGCTAATACAGCATGAGCTAATGTTAATAATTAACAGGCATATAACTACTATGACCACAGCAAAGAAGCATTTCAAAATTGGACTGAGATAAAGGAAATAATTTTAGATGTATTTCAGCCAAGGTTTGCTTTAGACAAAGATCTACAACCAGTGGGGAAAAAGACATTGTACCACTATTTTCATTACAATACATTACTATTTACCATAAACATTTCTGGCAAGAAGGCCCACAAAAGGCCTAGGATGAAATAATTCAGCAAGCAGTGACAAAGGAACATAGTAATAGCAATTGTCCACAAGGGACTGCTGTAAAAAGAAGCATAAGGGGAACAAATGATTCAGATAAAGAATGCCAAATACAAAAAATAAGGAAAGTCCATATGTTCATGTGTTTTAATTCTTTCTAACATATGATTGAGGACATTTCAGTCAATTAGTAAAAATAACCCGAAAGGTAAATGAAGTAAACAGAGGCTTAGAATGCACTGCTGAGATTCTTCTTCAGGAGCCCCTAAGATAAAGCTCAATGTTAAAGAATTGCCCCTTCAGTTCAACTAAACAAGATGGCATAGGAATGAATGCAATATTATCAGGAGGAAAATATCTAAAAATCTGACTTTTCTTGGAAAACGAAGAATAGCATCTGTTACACTTGGACAGACACATTGAGCTGCTGCAAGGACTTCACGTATAGCAATGAGATGTGTGTGACAACATGTGACTATGCCAGTGAAATGAGTTAAGACATTCACATGGTGTCATTCTCCTGACTGCCAAGAGAGAGGAGGCCAAAGCATTAATCGATTCTGGAAAAAAACAATGCAACTGTCTCCATCTGTATTGTATGGCTGTACTACTCAAACAGATATTTAGCTGTAGCAATTCTATATGACCAAGAAGCAAGATGGTCACTAGAATTTCTGCTTTTGGGAGGGTTGTTTGCTATGTACATTAGCTAAAACTTACAATGTACAAATATAGCCTTATGCTCTGAAGGTTCATTTCAGCAAAAATTTGGTCTCCCATGCTAACATGAATATTTGCAACAGATCAAAGGATATATAATTCTTTATTGTTTTATTATTAAGCCAATACAATTTCCCATATTTTTAAATGCCACAGATCAACAGAAGGATATATTTCAGTTTTTCAGTGTTTTGCGATAATCAATTAGCAGCTCACAACAGGAATTAATTTCTTGTGTTGCATCAGCTAATAAATTATCAAAAATCTTCCTGATTTCTGCAAATTTTTCAATCAAATCTAACCAAAAGGCCAGACTAATTGGTTATTTCTACCAATGATGACAATATGTGTACGTGTTGCTATCCACACTCCAACACAATCTAGGAAGATTGCAATTTATATACTGTGCAATAATATTACCAGCGAATACTGCCATTTATAAATTATTTTATAGCAAATTCTTGATTACTTATGATATATTTAAAAAGGATCTTATGCCATAAGTAGTTCTGAGCAGATCCTAAATCATTATTCCAAAGGATTTGTAGCTGGAAACCACAACTGATCAAATTTGGTTACTGATTTTGACATTTTTACTGTTATTCTTCCACCATTTATTTTATTTATTTAAATTTATTGGCTGCCCAACTCCAGTGGACTCCTTTATCTTATGTTAATCTTTTTACACATTTAACTATAATGAGATGCATAACATTTCTAAGAATAGGAAAAAAGGTTTTGTACAGGATTTATTCACTTGGTGTTTCTATTTCATTTTATAACATATAGTCTCTGTAGGTTTATTTTTCAAATGTTAAGACTACATTTTTATTTTATTTTATTTATAAAATTTATATGGCTGCCCATCTCACACAAGGTGACTCTGGGTGGCGTACAATAAAGCCAACAATTAAAACATATTATAAAACCACTTAAATAATTAAACATAAATAAGAACAAGATTGTGAGAGGGTTAAAATCAGAATGTTATATGGGGTGCAGTCAATGCGCAGGCTGCCAGGGGATCTCCAGGCCTGATGAAAAAAACATGTTTTGAGGGCTTTCCAGAAGGCCATAAGGGTTGGGGCTAATCTCACCTCAGGGGGGATGATGTTCCAAAGGGCAGGTGATACGGCAGGAAAGGCTCGTTTCCTGGGTCCCATCAAATGAACTCTTTAGCAGATGGGACCCGCAACATGCCTCTCCTGCCAGATCTGATGGGATGCGTAGATGTAATCAGGGAGAGGCGGTCCTTCAGATAACCCGGCCCCGTGCCATGTAGGGCTTTAAAGGTCAAAACCAGCACCCTGAATTGTACCCAGAAGCAAACTGGTAACCAATGCAGCTCATGGAGCAGAGGTGTATGTCCTCCTAGGGTACACAAAACTGCCCATGCTGCAGCATTTTGCACCTGAAGCTTCCAGATATTCTTCAAGGGGAGCCCCATG